AGTGACACTTTGAGCCTACAATACTGAACCTTTTCACCTTTCTAATTTTCTGAGATTTTGAATTTAGGGTTTTCATAAACTGTAAGCCATAATCATTGAAATTATATCAAATAAAGGCTTGAAATATCTCACTTTGCATGTAATGAGTCTATATAATATTTTAGTTTCACCTTTTAAGTTGAATTACTGAAATAAATGAACTTTTGCACAATATGCAAATTTTTCACCTGCAGTTTATATCCTGAAAATTCTAATCAAAAACTGTTTTTAGATCAAAGAGGTAGTAATACACTGCTCAGAAAAATAAAGGGAAAACTAAAATAACACATCCTAGATCTGAATGAATGAAATAATCTCATTAAATACTCCTTTCTTTACATAGTTGAATGTGCTGACAACAAAATCACACAAAAATTATCAATGTAAATCAAATTTATCAACCCATGGAGGTCTGGATTTGGAGTCACAATCAAAATCAAAGTGGAAAACCGCACTACAGGCCGATCCAACTTTGATGTAATGTCCTCAAAACAAGTCACAATGAGGCTCAGTAGTGTGTGTGGCTTCCACGTGCCTGTATCGCCTCCCTACAACGCCTGGGCATGCTCCTGATGAGGTGGCGGATGGTCTCCTGAGGGATCTCCTCCCAGACCTGGACTAAAGCATCCGCCAACTCCTGGACAGTCTGTGGTGCAACGTGGCGTCGGTGGATGGAGCGAGACATGATGTCCCAGATGTGCTCAATTGGATTCAGGTCTGGGGAACGGGCGGGCCAGTCCTTAGCATCAATGCCTTCCTCTTGCAGGAACTGCTGACACACTCCAGTCACATGAGGTCTAGCATCGTCTTGCATTAGGAGGAACCCAGGGCCAACCGCACCAGCATATGGTCTCACAAGGGGTCTGAGGATCTCATCTCGGTACCTAATGGCAGTCAGGCTACCTCTGGCGAGCACATGGAGGGCTGTGCGGCCCCCCAAAGAAATGCCACCCCACACCATTACTGACCCACCGCCAAACCGGTCATGCTGGAGGCAGCAGAACGTTCTCCACGGCGTCTCCAGACTCTGTCACGTCTGTCATATGTGCTCAGTGTGAACCTGCTTTCATCTGTGAAGAGCACAGGGCACCAGTGGTAAATTTGCCAATCTTGGTGTTCTCTGGCAAATGCCAAACATCCTGCATAGTGTTGGGCTGGACATCAGGCCCATTATACCACCCTCATGGAGTCTGTTTCTGACCGTTTGAGCAGACACATGCACATTTGTGGCCTGCTGGAGGTCATTTTGCAGGCTCTGGCAGTGCTCCTCCTGCTCCTCCTTGCACAAAGGCGGAGGTAGCGGTCCTGCTGCTGGGTTGTTGCCCTCCTACGGCCTCCTCCACGTCTCCTGATGTACTGGCCTGTCTCCTGGTAGCGCCTCCATGCTCTGGACACTACGCTGACAGACACAGCAAACCTTCTTGCCACAGCTCCCATTGATGTGCCATCCTGGATGAGCTGCACTACCTGAGCCACTTGTGTGAGTTGTAGACCCCGTCTCATGCTACCACTACAGTGAAAGCACCACCAGCATTCAAAAGTGACCAAAACATCAGCCAGGAAGCATAGGAACTGAGAAGTGCTCTGTGGTCACCACCTGCAGAACCACTCCTTTATTGGGGGTGTCTTGCTAATTGCCTATAATTTCCACCTGTTGTCTATTCCATTTGCACAACAGCATGTGAAATTGATTGTCAATCAGTGTTGCTTCCTAAGTGGACAGTTTGATTTCACAGGAGTGTGATTGACTTGGAGTTACATTGTGTTGTTTAAGTGTTCCCTTTATTTTTTTGAGCAGTGTATATAGATTTCAAGGTAATTTATCACACACAGCAAAATCTTTGACAGTTGACATCTTTTTACCCAACCTAAACTGTGCACAATCATTTCATGCTGAAAGTTTCCTGTTTCCCTTGTTCTACTGTCTATCCTTTTCCACACACTAGAACATGAAAACAAATATAGTAACTCTTACATCGATGTATCTTGGCTCTTAATCTAACCAGGCAAAGAAGAAATCCACAAGGAATAAATCAGAAAGAAAAGGGCGAAAATAGGGACCAGGGGAATCGAGATTAAATCAGACAAGAGACAGAGGCATGAAGGGGAGGGAGACATGGCAAGTAAAAAAAGTTTTGCACTATGCGTTTACTGTTCTTCAAGCCAAGAGAAAACACCATGACTCCAAGTGATAGGACGTCAACAGCGTTGGCATCATTAAACTTGAGAAGCAGGCAATAATAAAAACCCACTGGCCGTTGTTTGTGTGTGTTTTTGTGCACGCATTCTTGTATCTGCAGGCAAAGAAGGAGCCATTTCTAAGAAAAGACAACAGAAGACTACTGTTTACTGTATAGCCTCAAAACAGAAGAGCTTGCTGATCTTTACTGTTATTATTTGAAATAGTTCATTTTATCCCCTTGGATATCATGCTTTCACTGTCTATTCACCACTGCATAGACAGAATACACAGTCTGTACTGAGAGGATAGACTGGAATTTCATTACAAGTCACCTTAATACTGGATCCAAACATTTTTCAGTTATGTTGCGTTTCCGCCAAACTAAAATCCCACCAGAATCAGGCTACCGTCTGCAGTAAAGCAGCCCAGGCACAAATGCAGAGTGGTGACTCAAATGAAAAGACTCAAGCACCCTCTTTTCTGTTATTTACAGCAACGTGATCCTCACATTACTGATTTTATGTGAATAAGTGAGCTTCACATTCATGGTATCCTAATTCCATGCTTCATACAAATTCTAAGCAGGCTTTGAGTATGTAGTGTGTTCACACCGGAAAGTCATTGAATAAAGTCAAAACAGTTAGAATGCCAACTCAAGAGCCTCTGATTTTTTTGAGTGTGCTGTTGACGACAGTATTGTCATACACTGCAGTGCACAAAGGAAATGTAGGACATACTTAAGTGGTAGTTTGACATCTGATAGCACAAGAATTGTATAATTTCCTGTTAGTATAAAATGCTTTGTATAAGATAATATAAAAACACATGTTGGATTCTTGTATATATAACTGCAAAAAATGTATACAGATTAGCATTACTACCCATTAGTACACACTGCATACAATTAATATGTAGTATGAGATTGGGACACAGCGCTTGTAATTTTAGATGTCGTTATCAAATAAGAAAATTATATTGTGTTGCATAAAATCTTTCTTTCTAAAATTCCAAGATTAACTAAACAGCACCAATCCTTAAAGAAACTCTATTCTTAAGACTTTACAGTTAACAATTTACAAAGGATGTACTTAATTATAGCTGATGGGCTTCCCCATTGTGGGCCATGAGCACAGCTCTTATATAGCTAATGGGAAAGGAAAGTGTGCTATGAGAAGGCTTTGTGAGCGGCTGTGAAAGTTCTTGAGCCAAACAAGACGAAGCTCTGTGTGTGTGACTTGTTCCCAAGTGGCTGTGCTGTCTAATTAAGTGAAGGGGTGATTTGTATTACACAGCTATTTGTGTCTGAAAGCAGGCTGGGTGGGTTATGAATAGGCCTATGTCAACACACATGCAGGCACACAAATAACACACAATATTAGCTTAAATTTATTTCAGAAGTGGGCACTCTTCTCTGTGACCCAAAAAGCACAGCACTTCTCTAACCATGTCTTCCTGCCTGGCTGAAATTCTGCAGCATGTTTCCCTGTCTGCTTGCTCTCATTTTCTTGCTTTTTTCACTTGCCTCCCTGCCTGCAGACCTGCTTGTCTGCTAAGACTGCAATATCCATGCATCATAGATGGATCATTGTCCTACCTTAATCTAAGTTCTGCGACTGAATTTAAACTCTGGGTGCCTCATTTTAGTTCAACTGCTAAAATATTACTGAGGACTTTTCCAAGTCTGATGAGGCAAGGTAGAAAAAGTAGGGCACACCTGAAATAGATGTACCAGGTGTGCTCCTCTGCGGAGAGTAGGAAGTGAGGTTAGAGGAGAAAATGAGGGAGAGAAAGAGACCTTGTAACAGCTGACAAAGTCACTGGGGGATGAGTAGAGCTTTTTTCCTCCTCCATTTTCCACATCTGTGGAAAGTTGCTAATGACGCCATTAAGTAGCGCACAAAATAAGTTAATGCCTTTATTAACTAGTACAGAACTATTATATTGAGTTACAGTGTATTAGGTACACTTGTAAATCTAAAGCACTCTAACTAAATCCTAACTTTGTGAGGCTCGTATAGAACACAACCACATAGACACACTAGTGTCTAAGCCACTGTTCAATCACCACCCTTTCAGATATTCAAAATCAAGAAACTTTTCTTTAAACTAGTTTTTATTTTAGTAAAGTTTTGTTTAAACCTGACCTTTAAACCTGGTATATTTTGTAAAATAAAAAAACAAGGACCACTTATTGGCCTTTTCCCCCTTTCAAGTGCATCTCATAGCCTTCATCACCAGATAACGTTAGCTTTTTAAAACAAACTCATATTCCCCAAACTATTCGAAAAGTATTGTTATGGTATTGCTCCTGAAACTTCATACTGGCACTACTGACAAAACAATGTTACACATACTGGGTACCACAGAGTTAAATCTAACAAATATAAAATGTGAAAATAGAACTGCAGACAGTGACACTTTTTCTGCCTACAATAATAATATGAATGAGATTGTTTTCCAAATGGCAGATAATATGCAGATGCCTGAATACAAAATTGATATCTATTATTTGCAAGTGAGTGGAGGAGGGAGGCAACAAGCGCTTCCTGCGTAATTGACCAGCAGCAGGGAGCCAGCAGCTCGGCTGCTTGCCTGAGAATATAATTGAAAAGCGGAGTGACTCGTGGTTGTGATTTAGCTATAATAGGTGAATATGTTAGACGAAGTTAAAGCTCAAGGTATAAAAGCCTGATCAATGTAGCCATCATTATGCATGTATCCTGCTGCACAATCTCCATCATTATAATTACTTATTTTCAGGCGTTATCAAGTCACTTACCCAGAAGTTGTTCTGAAAGAAGGCCATCTTCACTCAGAGATTCACAGCAATCTGTAAAGAAGTAGAGCTGCATTAGAGAAGAAGGTGACATTAAGACTTTTCTTCTTTAAATCTGTTTGACCTCCATTTTCTGCTTGCAAGAATGACCTGGAGGATACCTTTTGGGTTCCTTTTAACAATCTGTAAAATGTTTGGGCCTTTTGTATAAAAAACCCCTGCATATCTGCAAATTCCACATAAACAAGCTTCCAGAGTCCTGACTTTATAAAATCTCCAGAGACACCTTCAGTGTAGGAAGGGAGCTCCTGAGGGAGAACAGAGGAGAGCTTAACAATTGGCTTCAAAGGATAAATTCAGAGAATGGTGGAAGCTGAGGAAGGAAGCAGGGAGGAGGAGTGACAGGAGAGATGGGGGAGGAGAGTGAAGGAATACAGGAGAGAAGAGATAAATCGATGGAGGGAACAAGGCAGGAAAGACGGAGGTAGCCACCAAGGAGATGATCGCAGTGTGTGAAACTGGTAGCTGCAGTACTCGGCTCCGATTGGCCGATTCACATTCTGCCAGAGGCTGCAGTTTATCAGCTCGCATCTACGATCACATTTTTTTAATATCTGCTGACTGACTACCACTACTCATACGAGTGAGTGGTTGCTTTTGTTTATTTACTGTTCAAAATCTACAATATATTGTGGAAAAGAAAGCATTTATTATTTTAGTCCTGTGCAAAAACATCACAGCAGTAACTGTTAGCACTACAACAAAAAATCCTTCCACATCATTCCACAAAGAAAATATGTTTCTTTGCTTTCTTAAAAAAAATGTTTTCATGACAGAGTCATTAAATACACTTGGTTGTTCAAATAAACTCATGACAAACATTGCTTTCATTAAATTATCATGAGTAATTATACACTGATTTAAGACTAATCATTACATTGTCATGAGAAATTATACATTGATTTAAGACTAATAATGATAATATTTTGTAATAACAATACTGATTCAATGTACTTAATATACAATCAATTTGTAAATATGTCAAACAGACTGCTCATTTCTTAGAACTAATGAGGACAAACCACAAGGTTTCCCCCCTTATGGGTGGCCCTGTCTTGGTTAATATTAAGATCAGCAGCTAATTATAATTGGTAATTAGATGCCAAACTTTTACAAATGACACTGGCTTTTTGTTTAAATCATATTTAAACTCTGTGTAATACATTGCTCAGTTCCCTACTTATGCGCTCTCTTGCCAAGAGTTAGATGAGAAGATTGATAGGGGGGGGGGGGGAATCACTTACGAATCAAAACACTGTGGCCATGTGAAAGTTATGTCTGAGACATACTAGCAAACTTTAAACATACATTCTCCAGCAGATTTAATTTTATGAAAAATCTTCTCGAAATTAGGTGTTTCAGACTAGAATACAAGCAGCTTTCATTAACAGGCTATTCATTTAATTAGGCCCGTTACACTGATTATTACTAAAGTAGCAGAAGATACATTTATTAATACAGCACGTGTTGCAGATATGTATGCTTTACGTTTTGATAACATTACACTACAATATATTTTTTTAAACTGTCAAGCAATGGCTTGTCTAATGAGAAGCCTTATCAAAAGGGATTGCTAAAAGTCATTATTAGGCTGAAGAGGTTTTTGTGGATTTAGTAATCTCATTTTCTGATAGGATTTTACGATGCTCTGTAGGACATTACACTAAATTAGATTCATCTCCTTAGCTCACTTTTAAGTTATCAAAGTCCGATTCTATACTACAAAGTCACAAAGATTTTTTTTTTTAAGTTTGAGTTGGCATGACTGCAGTGTTTTCTTGAACGAGACGATTTTTAATTGGCTGGTGGCAGGAGGGAATACACTGTAGCAGCAGCTGAGCATGCACCTTCTGACCCCCTGCACACACACACAAACCAACATACACCCATGCAAAAGCCTTGAAATTAAGTCCTGCCCTTTCCAAAATAATCCATAATGCGAAAGTGTTTCCCTAGGGCTGCCCTCACACAGGGTTCCTGTTATCTGTTATTCTGCTGACTTTATGTGTGTGTGCGCTGACAACAACCCATTCCCTGTATTGGCACAGACTCAGCTCAGGCCTGGTGACCTGGCAGCAGCAACACACGTTGACACAAACACAGAAAGACTTACTGTACTCTCTCTCTCTCTCTCTCTCTCTCTCTCACACACACACTTTGTTAATTATCTCAGTAGTGGGACTGGAGGCCCCTGCAGACTGCATTCTGTTTGGCAGAGCAGGTAAGCCCAGATGAGGGAGAAAGATACAGAAAGACAGAAATATTATACAATAATATAATCGTATCCTGTGAGAATTTTCCAAATGATTGATTCCAAGATCACTATAATGAAAACCTTACTAAATTAGTTATTAATGTTTTTGTTTACATATATGTGAAAAGGTTTGTCTGATGTAATTTACAACTTCAATAATGATTATTATAGGATACATATCTGTGTACCACATACAATATTATAACAAGTATTTCTTAAAATACAAGTGCATGATACTTCATTGCTCGTACTGGCTCATTTCAAAAGATTCTTTACCTCTGGACTCTGACTGACTGACTGGTCGAGCTTATACTTAACATAGACTGGTTATTAGGCTATTCTCAGTATAGTTATATGGTATTCAGATTTATTTAGTGAAAAGTGCAATATGAGTAAACCTGGATCTGTAAGACATTCATAATGTCAATAAATTCAGTGTATTGCCATAAACCAAGACAAAACGTCAACTGAATTTATACAATAACTTAATGATATTTTAGCAATAACTATTTTTGGTTTCAGAAGACATTTTGAATATAAAATGTTTTTAAAATAAAATGTTGGAAAAAGAAACACTGAATGGACAGTTAGAGAAAGTAGATTCACCATATATTTTACACAACAGTTTAATAAGTTCAGAAAAGTGTCACTTTAATGCAGCATTTTAGCTCAGGACATACACTATATTTTCATGATATTGACGTTAAATCCAAATATTGCCCAGCTCTACAGAAAATGTAGGCTCTAAACCAAACAAACCAAAAAAGGAACTTAAACAAAGCTAATCAGTGAAGTGGGATTTCTAAAGGTCACCAGCAAATTGCCAATACATGCTTTCTGGGCTGATTTTATAGGCTTAATACCCATGCAGTGGGACAATGGTTGGTTGATGGTTTTCAGGAGAACAAAAAGAGGAGACAGAGGGAGGACAATGGATAAAAACACCGTGATGATGAGGGAGCCACTTGTTTTCTTCTTGTGACAGCCTGGTACGCCATATTAAAATGTGATGTAGATCTGAGCTAATCAGCCATTTTGTTTTAATCCTTACAGTTTTGACACAGCATGATCCAGAAACACAAAGACAGAGAGAGGTGTGCACTGGCACAGTGGGATGTATAGAAGTAGCTGACACCCAGCATTCTCCATCTGTTTCCAACTACACATTCAGCTGAAATCAGCTCGGAGGTAAGCAAAGCCCAGAGAAGAAGTGGGACACACTATGACCTTGATGTGTCATGCTCAAGGTCATTTATTCAGAAATTAAATGCCCACACACATTTTGGTTTTGCTGTGCGTGTCCCCATGCACATATGGTTTAACCACAGCAGCAAATCTCAACCTACCGCATGCTGACTCACTGTCATGGTTAACTGGTACACTTGATGGAACTGAGCCATCGTTAACCAAACTTGCTTCATCTTTTCCTGTAATGCCCCATGAAAAAGGTCTACTGTCCACAACAAAGAGACAAGTATCAGTTACTACTGTTAGCCCTGAAATTCTATACTGGTGCATCTCTAACAGGAATCTTTGTTGAATTAGGTCACTATTAACAAGGCTTTAAAAGCTTGCGTGCAAAGTACAGTCTCAACATAGACAAAACACAAAAATCACTTCAAAACATGTATGTAAAATGTGGGTGAGTTGAGCTTAATAAACACGACAAATGACTCAGTGCTTGCATCTTCAACAATCACAGATTCAGTTTCTTCCAAATTGAATAAAATTACAGTTAATTGGATGTAGTCATGGTGTCTTAAGAAAAAGGCAGCAAAGTTATTGCTGAACCAGGATTCTTAGAAAATCAGTCTGGTTGTTGCAAAAGTAAAACTAGGACTGGTGAGGAAGAAACTCTTCATCTGTAATATTCAGTCCAAATTGACTTCCCCATTGTTATCTAATCTTTTTTTTATTTATTTCTTTTAAATGTTAAATAGTGAAGGTGCAGGTTTTATGATAACAGAGAGGACTGTTCAAAGATATATATATATATATATATATATATATATATATATATATATATACATACATATATATATACACACATATATATACACATATATACACATATACATATACATATATACATACACATACATATATATATACATACACATACATACATACATATATATATAGAGATAGAGATAGATAGATAGCCAACCAGTTTCGACCTAAGAGTATCTTTATCAGGGCGTAAATAATAAACAGGACTAAGAGGCAAAACCACAAATGTGAACCTCATGGTGGCGCTAAAGGAAAAGTCAGAGCATCATACAGTTAGTAAGACTCATCCTCTGGGGACCATGAATGAGTGTCCCAATTTTCATGGCAATCAATCCAAAGTGTTGGATGCTCCTACAGCATGGAGAACACTTTTTAAGAAATATTCTGTGGTTTAGAAATAGCTATTCAGACACTTCTTTCCCATTAACAGCAAGAGTAATTTAAAATGCCTACTATCCATGTCTTGTAATCCTGTTTCCCTGCCAATCTGTTTACATGCAATCATGCTTGATCGACCCTTGATTGTTATGCTAGATGATTATGTGTGACAGGTCAAAGAGTCATACAAGCAGACAGATGAGCAGAGAGACAGTGTGGCGAGACAGAGCAGCAGCATAGTCACGCAGATAGTAAAGTAAAAAAAAGATACACAAGATTTGAGGGGAGAATCCTATCCTCAACAGACAGGCAGTTGCTCAATCAGAGAGATAAGGCAATCAGCTTTATCAAAGGAGACACATTAACTTCTGCCACCATCACCCTGCCTGACAACACACAGATGGCTGCCATGGAAAATTAGGACTTGAGAAAAGCAGATGGGGAGGAGAGAAAGAAAGTCTTATCCACAGACAAAAACTATCCACAACCTGTTTTATTCCTGCAGGAAATAAATAGTGCATCCCCTCCGCCCATCCTAAGAATTTCTGTTTTTATTTCCCTTTCCTCTTTCTTTTGCCAAAGAGGGATTTACTAGCAGACATCTCTCTGAAGAAAAGGAGGGAGGGTGGGTCAACACAAACTGGTGCCTCGTCACCACCTCCACCTACCTCTCTCCCTCCTCTGGCTAAGAGAAAGGATGAGAGAGGGTGGACAGGAATTACTACCTCTGTCTTTCTTAACACTGTCGCTGAAAACGTTGAATAACAGTCTTCTTCTCTGGCTCATAGAGCAAAACAAAAATGGAACTGGGTTAAATGTAATGATACAGCCGAGTGTAGAATAAAGATGCTTCACTAACCTCTGGACAGGCACATTTGTCACAAGCTCAGGGAGCAATGCAGGAGGGAGAGAGAAAATGACACACAGGAATAGAGAGAAAAAGAAAAAGGACAGGTAAAGGTGAAAAATGTAGAGGACTGAGGCAAGGTGGGTGGGTGGATTTGTTAAGGCTCAGAGATAAAACAAATCACAGAGTCATACTGCAGAATCAGACAGGTAAACATGACGCCAAGCGAAACCAGGTGAAGGACAAGATGAAAAAATGACAACAACTGAAGTGACATAGTAGCTATGGCATAAGTGAGACAGACAAAAAGGTGTCCCTTAAAACATTCAGCAAATATTCAAAGCCAGGTTTAGAGAGACATACATCAAAGAGTGATTATTATATTTATTGTATTTTAAATTGCTAAAAATTGGTTTTTTATTGCTATTTCAGCTTATAAACTGTGAGTGTCCATTTGTGTTGGCAAATAGTGTAGTATGATTACTACATTGTCAGATGCTAATAATTGAAGTAATTTATTAATAAACAACACTGATAGGCTGTACTTTGGCGCAGTAATCCTTAAGATAAATGCAAATATGAACATGCTAACACGACAAAGCTAAAATGCTTACGAGAAGTTATAATATTTACCGCGTTTGCCATCTTAGTTTTAGCATGTTAGCACTAAACATAAACTACAGCTGAAGTTAATGGGAATGTCATTATTTTTGCAGTTATTGAGTATTAGACACATTAAAAATCAATCAGGTGATGGGGCTAACTTAAAAGGGATTACCAAATAGATTACAATTCATCCTGAGGGCAACAGTAATACCTGGCAATCCATCCAATGACTATTTCACTCAAAATCACAAATGTCATGGTGTTGCTACAGGAAAGGTCAGTAGGATTCATCCCCTGACAACCATGAATGTCTGAACAAAATGTCGTAGCAATCCATCATATAGCTGCTGAGATGTTTCAGGTTGGGTACAAAATGGTGGACCGACCAGCCGACAGACAGATGACAGACTAAAATGTCAAAAATCTTGGTTCCTATTTCTAAACTGTGAGGATTTGCTTATTGTATTTTGAACATCTTTGGGTTTTGGACTATTGGTTGGACAAAACAAATCATTTGAAGACATCACCCTGGGGAACCATGATAGACATTTTCACTATTTAGGACAATTAATCACAAAGATACTGATTACAGATTAATCAGTAATAATAAAATCCATTATTTGTTGCACCTCTAGTGTCCATACATGTTTTTTAAAAAACACCTTTGAAGTCATTACTATTTGAGATACAAGCAATGCATTTCTATTTCTCATGTGCAGGTGTGAGGCACTGAGAGAAGCAAGACAAGGACGAACAGACTGAATGTAGAGAGCAGCTGGAGTCTTACAGAGAAAGTCTACTGCACTGCAGATCGACTCGTCTGTCCTTCAGTATTAGTTTTAAACCTGATTTGGCGAAGCGTGGAGGAGAGATCATTTTGTGTCAGGCCTAATTTCCCCTTCACAGCCATCGACAGTCTTCTGCACTCTGCCACATCTACCAACGTGCGATGACTCACTGATGTGACTGGTTATTTAGAGCAAGACTTCACTGTGTACGCTTAGTAGTTTCTTTCATGAATATAAAACTTAAGGGGTTTAATTTGATCAGTCAAGCTCTAGTACAAGCTTTCAGTTCATCTATATCTCATTTAATTGAGCTTCTCTTTCCAATAGTCGGTGATTAAACGGCGATTAAAATGTAGGTTAATTATACAGCACATCTGACCCGTTTTAAACAGTCATGCAGTTACAAATTAATTCCATTCTGTTTTAAGTGTGTTTATTGTTGATGTACGATCAGGAGTCTGCAAAGGGCATTTTATTTTGAAAAATCGTACTTCCTATTCCTGCCTGGTTCATCTGCTCTGTGCTGCTTGATGTGGCTTCTGTCAAAAATAGACTGGCAGTGTATATTGAACTTTAGCAAAACTTAATAATAATAATCATAAATCGAATCATAATCACAATATCCGGCAGAAAAATCGCAATTACATTTCTTCCCCAAATCGTTCAGCCATAGTCAAGTCATGGCATTAAATAATATGATATAATATCATCAGGTCGGCCGAGTCCATCTTTCTATATCCCAGTACACATAAAAAAAATACTCAGTTTGAGGTTCAATAAAAAAATAAAACCAAGAGACGCCTCTCGTGTTTAATAGACAAGCTTAGTAATTCTCCAACAACACTGGAGTTCCTCCCCTCCCCCGCAGCCTCCGATGCTGGTAAGCAGCGCACCGGCTGTAACTCAGGACAGACTGGGCCTGACTGGTATGATCTGAAACGCCGTTATCGATATTTCCTGAGCTGACCAGTGGCTGTGTGTGTGACGCAGGCACTGATCGCCACAATATGCTTACCTAACAAAACGTGTCTTTCTGTTGTGCATTTTTCCTCCCCACCAAAGCAGCAGATGGCCCAAAGATTTCACCCACCACCACCGCATTACCTGCAGGTGGCGGTAATATGGTGGTCACACTAAAGTTTCTGTATTGTCAGCTTCTGTCAAGCTTAAGGCCATTGTATAACAAAAAGTCAAGGTACAGCGTAACATGTGAAGTTGATGCTTCGTCTGCATACTGCTTTACTCTTGGGTGTCATGTGATCAGAGTGTCATCGCAGCCTTTGCGTTTAGAAAATCTCGTTTTATCACATCGCGATAATATCGCAAATGCAATTAATAGTTCAGCTCTAGACTTGACTCAAATTATCGTTCTCATATTATTATTATTTGATATTTCTTCTCCACCATTGCTCATAATAATAATTCATGCAGCGATTTATGCATCACCTAATTTCATCACAACACAGGCCTGACCCACAAGAAAGAACAGTGTATATTTAACCTGTCTAATATTGTGTTTGTCACACTATACACGGATTTACTGCTTGTCCGTTTTGAATAATACAGAAGGTAAAGAGCTTAAAAATGAATTGCAAAATAAAATCGCAATTAGATTATTTTCCAAAATCATTCAGCCCTAATCAGACCCCAATCTTAGGGCCCCGTGTCCACCAAAGCGTTTTTTTCAATTCATTCCAATGGGAGCACCGCGTTTTTACTAGCTGGTAAAAACGCCAGGAGCGTCACTGTCACTTTTTACCCAGCAGTCCAATCACAGTGCAGGAGTGTCGAGACAAACTCCGCACTGAGCACATCCGATCTTGAACAAAACTATGTGCCTACTCTTCTTACACTTCTCAACCTTTTTTGGGCCAGCACCCCCCTATCCATTATCCAGGTCGCTTACCGCCCCCCCCATCAAAAAAGAAGTTTGCTATTTGCCCTGAATATTGTTGATTAATAAAAACATGGAAAAGGTAACAAAAAAGCCATGTGAAAAGTAATTATATTTAAGTGAATGTTCCTCCCAGAAACTGTGTATGAAGCCAGATACTGTTTTCATGGAAATTTTTTTCATGCCTTTTCTGCACCAATTTATGGTGGAAATGTCAAAAAATTCAGGTGGCAGGTGACAATTCAAAATATATAATTATAATAGAATATAATCTAGTGAGGCTCTCTGGCATTCTTATTGCTTTTAAATATTTTTCTCCTGTAGATCAACTTATTTAATATCATCCCTGTTGAGTCAACACACGATTAAGTCTTACTTCCTCTTTTATGGGGAAGTAACCTACTTAAATGTGATTGTGGCCCCTTTTCATCTCAGTAATAAATTAATCCGTTTTAATTCAGTTATTGACTGGACTTTATTAGCTCATCTGTTAATAACTTATCATACCTCAGTGTTTCCCACAGAATGTAACTGTGGCACAGCTATATACACAGCATGCTAGCCTCAAAAACCCAGCTGTATTCTAACGTTAACTTAGCTATCCTTATTAGCTAGGCTCCTTACATGATTGCTAATAACTTTTATTGCTGGGACTCTTGTATTGTTGTGAATCTTTGGTGTAAACTCACCTTAGAATTTCCAACTAACGAACGCCCCCCAAAAGCAGCTCAGCGCCCCCTTTACAAAATATTGCTTCCAGCGCCCCCCATCGTCTTTGGAACACCCCGTTGAGAAACACTAGCCTAGGGGAATAAAAATAGCAAGTCAAGTCAGACACAATCTACTTCCGGTAGACTGCGTGAGCTTACTGTAGCTGTGTCTCGAGCTGTTTCTCCATCTGCATTCTTGTCTGTACTTGTGTTCTTGTGGACTTGTGAAACGTCATAAGTCGCAGCCAAAGTACTGTTCCAATTCAAAAGTCTGCATCAAGCCAAGTACAGTCAAATACCCGGATGTGTTCTCGGTCCGCCCGTTTTACCGAGCCTGCATCGGTGGTGACTTGTATGGACTTCGGATCGCCAGATATCCCAGGATGCATTTCGCTGCCAAAAAGCAGAAATGTCGGATGAGAAAACTCAGAACTGTATAATACTGCTGTTCTTGTGTCACATATAGTAGTTTTAAGAGTTTTATATGCAGGAATATAGTTGTTTAAACTACAAATATGTGGTTGATTTCTCAAGACAGAGCTGATTTAAAAAATTGCAACGACGTTTTCGGAGATGGGAAGTCCCGCCCACTAACGGGTCCGACCGTCATCAAGTCCACTGCTGTTTCAATTGCTGAATGACTGACTGCGTGCTCCCGTTCCTGGAAGTTTGTACTCCCGAGCGAACAGCCTCGGTCTCAATTCAGGGACCGCATCCTTCGAAGGTTGTGGCCTTCACGGCCTACGAAGGAATACGGCCGCAAAAGGCCGAACCTATGGGTCGAACCGACCGTTGTTAAATGAGATGGTCTGGTTTACGTAGGACTGTCTATTGCATCATCAACTAACCCCACCTTTACCCATGCGTGGGGAAGTGCCTCTCCTGTCTGAGTTTATAACAATGATCAGGCCTTGCTCCCACGAGGTCTAGTGAGGTGACACCTCGCGGGAGGTAACGCGCTGTTATACTGAGAAAAGAGGTGGATGCAAATTTCAGTAGGTAGCCTACAATATCTATTTTGCCGAATTATGCAATTCACTTCTTAAGGTCCTTTTAAGACGCTGTTTGAACGCGGTTAACGCCACATGTTTTTGCTGAATCTCAAGAAATGGTACTTTTACTAAGTGTAATAATATATTAACGATTCTTAACGTTCATGAAATACATTAGTGATAAATGATCACTATAGATGAACCCCACAAAGAATAGTATAGCGCTTAAAAACAGAACTTTAATGCATTTTCATATAATTCTCGGCAGGCATGCAAAATTCGGCACAACACCTGTGACAGTCGACTGTCGTCCCTCCAGTTACGCTGTCAATCTGTGGGAAACACTGTACAGTATCTTGGTGGTGATTCATTGTGTGGCTATTGTGAAGAGAAAGATGATTGCTACAATCATCAACAAATCGTCAGCACAGCTCACAAAGCCAAATGCGTCAATACAAGTACTAAAACCAGAGCCTGCACTCAACAATGACACACTGAAACCAATAATCACATCAACGCTAACTTGATGACAGAGTTACACCCTGCATTTAATGACTAAAGCAGCTTCAGAAGCACGGCACAGACATATTCTCTTAAAAGCGATTAACAGGCTGCTTGGTGAACGTGTGCTGGAGCCGTTAGTAGCAGAGACGGAATGACAGAAACAGTGAGACAGCAAGCACAATAGACAGGAGGCAGTGAGAAAGAGAGAAGCAGAGTGATAACCACAACCCAGGCCGTCAGCTCCCCATTGTCCTGGCCTGAATGTGCTTTTGTCACTGCAGCATACAGCTCCAGTCCAGTCTATGACAATGTGCCAGGCGGGCATCACTTCCAAGCCCTGGCATGACCAGTGGTCGAGTGCACAGCGTGACAACAAAAACTCTCACAATACACGTTGGAGGTCCATACACAGCTAGAGATGAGCATGTCTGCAGAAGTGCAGCTGTGAATTAAGACAGAGCTGAGTCTAACACAGCAGTTTATTGTTTTCTTACTGACAGACTGAGCACAAATTTCCACCTCTTAATTCTGTTACAGTTAGATTATTTTATATTCTTAGTATCCTCTTAACAAGACTGCCTCTCATTTTTATAGAAACTTCTCTTTTGTGCTGCTACACACAGTATATCTGATATTTGTTAAATGATTTAATGATTATACTGTAAGACTTTAAGCAAATACATTTTCCTCCTTTGTTCTGTTATGAAATTATCCAACCTTGAAAAAATCTCCAAGCTACTTTTAAGCCAAGGGATGCACCGATTCGATACTGATTTCAGCCCTATACTAACTTAAATAGCTGGATTGGGTCTCGGTGACATCGATCTGTTCAATTAAATTACACACGTACAACGCGATGGGTCAGCAGTGCGCGGGTAGAAAAGAATATTTTGCTAACATAGCAGTTAGAAAGTAATGCTTCAAGCCTGATGTTGCCTTACACATAAAATAATGATTCCCAGTCTCTTCCTCTCTTCCTCACAGTGAGGAATACAGCTTATTAATTTTACACTGGTATCGGATTGGTACTCGGCATCAGCTGATACCCAAAACTCAGGTATTGGTATATAAAAGTCAGATTGGTACATCCCTAACTAAGACAACCAACAAAACAATTGGGGGATGAAAGAAAATAACAATTAGTCGCTTGTTTTCTCCAGCCAACTGCCCAAAACCAAAAGATATTCAATTTACAACAATATAAAAGAGAAAAGCAGCAAATCCTCACATTTGAGAAGCCGGGACCAGCCAACGTTTGATACCTTTGCTTGATAAATGACTTAATTTATCTATTATTAAAATGGTTGCAGACTCATTTTCTGTCGATTGATTAACGGACTAAGTGTTACAGCTTTAATCATCTGATATCTGTTCTATTAATAATGTATAGCAAAAAGGTAAAACAGCATTTTAAACTGTAAACAGAAATACAGTTTAAGCCTGTCATTATATTTAAGGGGTCCCTCCTCGTGGCTGTGGCAGATCCTTTTTAAGTCTGATGTCATTACAATAATCTTAAATCTCCCTCCATGCTGCTTTTAAGCAAATCAACAAAATAATTTCTTTTATCATTCACCTTTCAGCACAGCATATAACAATCCAGTAACCCAGAAATAGATCCAGGACCAAAGCCAGGGGGTAGGTGGTGTGCTCCTCCACCCTGCCCAGGACCATCCCATCTGCCACAAGGAGACCTTGGCTGGGCTCATTCACAACCTCAGGCATAGATCATGTTTTCTTAACAAAGGGGACTTATAACAAGATTTCACAGCAGGATGTTGCCTGTTGTCAATTTAAATTTTGGTGTAATCATAACTGCAATCAAATTATGATTAAAACAATGTATTGCACTGTATATCAAGAGCAAATTGAAAGTAAGACAAGTTCTGTTTGTGTTTTCATTATGTAACAGGTTAACTTTACCGTTTCCTGCCTCATAGTTCTTGCCTCTGGGTTCTGCCCTGTTTGGCAAAGAAGAGGGAAGGCCTTGCAGGGCTATAGCCTACATATGAGAGGCTACATATGTATAATTAATATCTGTCATTGGCACCCTAGAATGTGCTGTAGGAGAGCCAATAGGGAAGCAGGGAGGAAGGGTAATAGTAAGAAGATCCGAATGGGTCAAAGAGAGAGCAAGAGGAGTCATCATGGAAGACTTCAACTGAGTAACTGCTCGGCTGCAAGCGTGTGCACATGAGCGTTCTTGCTTGTTTGAATATTCAAGCAAAAAGACTGCTCAGCAGGTTATTGTCAGATAACGCATTGGCTCGGCACAGCCATCTATTCCATTCAAATATAAATGCAAAACAGGGAGCACTTCTTATTCAACTGCTTCTTTCTTTTCAACTTACCTTCCCCCTTATTTAGATCAACCTCCATTGCTGATATCTGGAGAGGTAAAACTTGGGCTCGAAAAAGCATCAGCCTTTACAGAAGTGTTTGTGGCTTGGTAATTGGTTGTTTGCTCCATGGCTCTGAAGAAGAAGCCAGTCAACAAAAGCTTGAGGGTATCAACAAAGTTTTGGGCACTTTCTTGTATTATGTTTTCATGTGGCCAGACTCTTTACTTTCCTAATTGACGTCTTGTCTACATATTGTAATTCCCAAGAAGTGTCCCTATGGTTTCAGACAGCATTTCTATTAATTTTCCTTTGATAGGACCAATATCTTTGCCTGGGCCCAGATCTTTGCATCCACCCACTCCAAGTTCACTGATTCCGGTCTGGCATCATGATATGAAACAGCAGTTTCAGTTAATAAAGTCTAATAAGCCCCACGGGGTACTAAGGCTTAGACACAGGTGGGACTAACACCGTTGTCAAGATATGCGCTGGAGCCAAGGAGGAGTAATAACAACAAGGGTGACTACTATAGACATGATGAATCTAAATCAGTTAAAATTTGGGACCGTTTACTTTGCTCCAGTAGTATGTTGGTATGGCTACACATCACTGTTGACTTGATGTTAGATTCAGGCAGATACATTGGTCTCTAGTGACTGGTTAGGAAAACAGAATCTGGTTAGGAAAATCTCCCACGAAAATTAGAGTTAATGTCAGACTGAAGATGGAAATGGAGTGCAACGAGTTGACAATTCTGTATGGTATCAACTAACAAATACCTTACAGAATAAAACAAAACCCAAAAAAAGCACCGTTAGTCATAATACAAATATCCAAATAACGGTCTGAAACTGTGACACCTGCTGTCACTGATCCTAAAAGCAAAATCCTGTGTTTAATATTTAAAATTAACTCCAAGGAAAAAATAAAATGTTATGACTAACATCTGAATATATACAAGCTTTACATTGGGTGTTTTCACCACACTATCATCACCAAAGCCTCAGCTATACTGCGAATCTACTAAACATGTCACACAGTGTGGGGTTACTGTTATGATATTACTAGCACACTACACAATATGTTAACATTAAATATTTTTGGTATAGTGACAATGCTAGCATCTAGCCTGGAGCTAACTCACTCAGCCAGCATACTGAAGCTTTCTCTCTCCAACTGAGTGACTCCAAGACAATTAATGGTCATATTTGATCTTTACATTCAATATTCAGAGCTACGCAACAAAATACAAGTCAGTGATTGATAGTTTAAACAAGAATGCATCTAAAGCAATGCTAGTTTCGTGATGCTAGTATTAGACAAACGGAAATTTTAACTGGATGATGGCACGAGATGATCACAGGATTGCGAATGTCTACAGCAAACTATCTGTTCAGCCATCCAGTAGTTGCTGAGATATTTCACTCTGAACCACAAATGTCAACCTCATGATGGTGCTCAAAAAACAGAGGCGATCAAGCCTTTGGTGTAGCTGCCCCTAACCTGTGGAACAACTTGCCATTCCATATCAGAACCTCCCCCACTCTCAAACGCTTTAAATCATTGTTAAAACACATCTCTCTTCTCCGGCTTTTCCTTCAAGTAAAGAATGTTACTATCCCAGGCCATATTTTTATCATTATATCATATAGTCTATGATCTAATGTATACTCTAATAATGTTTTATTGTTGTACTTTTAGCTTGCAAAGCACCTTGTTCAACCTTGGTTGTTTTAACTTTTGAATTTCAATTTCAATTTCAGAACACTTTATTTATCCCCATGGGGCAATTGCGAGACACGTAGATTAGGACGTTAAATAAAAAAACATCTTTCGTAATAAACATAGCCTAATAAATTAGTAAATAAATAGACAGACATATATCAGTGTTGTCACCATAGTCCAAAGCAGCATTGTGCTATATAAAAAAAGTTGATATTGATAAAAAAAAAAAAAAAACAACAGACCATTATTGCCAGTCAGAGAAAACATTTCTGTATCTCAGCAGCATTATGGTATAATCAATCATCATATTTATTCAAGCCAATATGTCCTCAAGATAAAAATTATGGTCCAAGTATAACCACACCTTTAGACATACTGAGCCTCATCAGACAGGCACTAGCAAACAGCCTTTGGTCAGTGAATGAATACAGCCTGTCAAGAATCAGCACCAAATATGATTTACCAAGATTGTGCCTGTAAACTGAGAAGAGGTGAGAAAAGACAACCGATATTGTCTCCCTTCACTCTGTCTGCTTTCTAACCATCCCACTCACCCTGACTCACTGACTTTCTGAGCATTCATCAGGGAAAAGGTTTATCTCCTGTTGAACTCAAGACACCAGGGAGAGTGCTGTTTATTTCTCTGATATCAAAAGACCCAACAGCAATCAACTCTCAACTCCTTTCAGAGGCAGAGAGAGAAAATAACTGCAAAAACTGTGTCTTATGCTATAGGCCAAGCTGTTTGGAAATTAAATGTCTGTCAGGCAATCAAGGGGAATTCCAGTCTAGTTGCTTTGCTGCAACCAGATAGTGGTTAACTTGCACCTCCTATAAGTGATGCAATGAAGCAAAGTGCCTACCTGAAAACCAGGAACTGACCGAAGTGATCGTCCCTGCTTCGCTTTCTAAGACATTTTACCCAATAAAATATTGATGGAATTAAACAAAGCTGACAAATCAGAGACCGTCTTTATTTTTAAAGGTTTTTTTAAAATCACATTTTATCGCAACTGATAGGAAACAGCAGAGAAACAGGAAATGTTTGGGGCCACAGAATGGCAGTGGTTTCAGTACGTTTAGTTTCTAACAGGCTTGAAAATAAACTGAAGCCTGTTGATGCCAAACTGGTAGCAGAGTTTGAAAACAAACATATTCATAAAATATTAAAACTTTTCCCCATATTTTGTCATGTATGAAAAAACTCCAAATGAGTAAGCAGACTACTTGATTACTATAAGCACATTATTTAAACAGATCTGTATGATTCTGTCTCAAGCTTTTTGATCCATAAGCGGTCGTTCCGTGTAACAGTGATCAATATAAGCGGTTTCCACTGTAAAACGAAAAGGGCCTATCTGGTAAAGGAGGATCCTTTCCGTAATGATACTGTGAGATTAAGGCACCATTGTCGTGTTATCAATTAGGAAAAGAAAGTTAATATATTTAAATTCAAGACAGTAGGCTACAAAACTGAATGATCATATAATGGCCCAAAGAGTTTAAGAAATTCTTATCACAAACTCTGTAAATCCTTCCTTAGTAGAGGTTTGTTTACAAGAGCTTGGTATCATTCTCCAAACAGAAGCACACAAATACCTGCCATAAATCTAAGAATTCACATAGGATATCTAGGACAGACTAGTTCATATTTGCAGGCACTAACAGATCTCTCTCCATCTAACCTAGAAACCCCATAATGGATCTCTGATCTGTGATGTCCAACTGTAAAACCAGAACTGGTGCTGATTCAATTTGGTGAATGGTTTCACTTTTCCCAAGTATCTCCATTGCTGATATTATGATTCAATTTCAGCTTCTTACAGATACATCTGCACCATAGCACCATGGCATAGGCTATATATTAAGATTTATACAGTCAACAGAACAGCACTGACAAGTTTCTATCAGATGTAAAAAGCCCAGAGCAGTACATATCTTGGTCACAATTCTTTGAAAAGCTAATTTGAAATGTTTAGTTATGTTCTTCTTCTTAAAGTTCTTAAACACTTAAATATCGTTATTAGTATCAGACTCAAAAAAATCCTGGATTGGTGTGGCTCAAGTCATAGGTTCACATAATGGCTTTAACTTCTCTAGTAAGAATCCTCACTACAAAAGACAATTTGTCTTAGGATGCAGGAGAACCATTTTTTAAATTTCCCATTCAACTCACAATCAATCCACAAATCCACATCAGCTCAGAAAGTTACTCTAATATAATATCATAAAATCAAAATTCAGACCAGTAAACCCCTGCCCCACCTTGGCAGATGATGCTAATTCTGAATCCCTTTTTAGAAAGACAAAGATATTTTGGTTTGCTCGAATGAACATTACCTACTAAAGTTTTAATTCTGGGTTTACATTATATTTTAAGCCTGTACATCTACTTGTCCTCCCGTAAGTTTCACCTTCAATGTTAGCTAAATTGCCCTCCGTTCATATGTCAAACAAACGTGTCCACTAGTCCTGCCAGTTTCAATTCAACAATGTCACACAGCCATGCATGACCAACTCGATATTTTTATTCAGCCTAGCGTTAGCTCAGTCGTTCGAGGAACTTATGAATTATATTCATGTAAAAGAAGGAGGTAAGAAGAGAAGGCATAATGTATTACCGGTATAGACTTTCCAAACAACGTTTATAGTACATTTTCCATCCCCGGTCTCTCTGCAGTCACGGTCAAACACTTGTATGCACCCTGAGCGGTTTGTCCATAGTAGTAGAAATTCACCAGACAGTGTTCAGTGTGCGCGCAAACTCCCGCCCAGCTCAATGCTGATTGGCTACTCCGCCAATCAATCAGAAAGAAACGAGTAGTAGGTATAGCAACCATAAAAAAGGTGGGTCTTAGAGAGTGTACTAGCAGCCTATTGGGTATTTCTTACCAGGGTAACGCCCACAAAATAAAGACATTAAATGTAAAGCACCAGAAGGACGTAACTTCTGCCTTTCTCGAACAAGATCAAAAACAAAGCAAAGTTCAGCGATGTTATACCTTGTGTAGCTACCTCGACTGTAGTGTACAACTTCTCTACTTTTGTATTTTATTTTTCACACTGTCTGACAGTATCAGCCTGTTCCAGCTCATCAGTGAACCTATTTCATGGTGATTGAATGTGTTTTTAAATGGATCCACCTGTCACATACATATACCCCTACATTTTCATAGATACTAACATTCACTCACAGACCTCATGTCATCATGTCAATGCATACATAGTCAAGTACAATACATGCACGCGTCTAAACACATAGATGCATATACTTTACACATGCAAACTGTCTGTTTTATCTGTTATGTTATTGTCTTTTTACTTGTTTTGAACCAAAAAGCCCAAGAAAGGACAGGGAAGCTTCTACTGTATGCCATACAAGCCATCTGTTGTAATCATCCCATGTAATGATGTTTTTACACTTATTCAAACTGAAGACTCCAAGATTTTATGGCAGCAATATACCATCAAATTGAAATAGTATACATGTTTGTCACATGTCACCATACAGTACATTTACTCAAAAATGTGCCTGGTATACTATATTTGGTATGGTTAGAAACGTTGGGATATCCACTTGAATTTAAAATAAAGTGGTGTGAGTATATGAACAATGCTTATCTGCACATCATGAGTTTGTAACGACTGACCTGCTGGTGGTTCAGTGAGGTTTTAGGGCTTAAAAAGGTAGCATAAGGGTAGAATAGAGTAAAACACCCCTGAGGGGGCAATTTGGCTTGCAAAAAGCAGTCAATGGTGAAAACAACAATGAATATCAGGAGAAGTTAGTGAAGATATGGGAAAGAAACTGATTCCTCCTCAATCAGTGCTCAGTTATGTTGACATCTGTACGCCCATGCTGTCAGTTATTTACCACCAATACAGAAATATGTGCATATATATGATATGATCATTTAAAACTAGAACACAATCTCTTTGTTAAATTGTTTTGTGTCTTTGGGAGAGACTTGTCCTTCAGTCACTCTTGTTGCTTCAGGGTCCCCACCGAACCAGTATGATAACTAAGAAATGCGGCTCCCTACCTGGCCCTTAAAAGATTAATGCAACACAGCTACAGCACTGAATTCTGTTATAAAGCCATTTTCAGTTTGAACAGTACAGCGAATAATTTATGTAGGTCCCCAGGGGATAACACCTTTATTTACAAGAAATATGTATCCTCTGTGCTGGTTATAAATAAATGTATAAATTACCAATTGTGTCCAAGCAGAAAGCAGTAAAGGCATATGTGACTTATAGACATTTCAGTTATCACTGATGTGGTGATCTTCAGGTCAAAAGAGATATTACGACCTACACAAAGAAATACAGTAATTTAAATCCTGTTTAATGGTTATGTGCAACTTAGACGTCTAGAAAAACCGGACCTGGAACTAAATGTATGCATGTGATGGATGCATATGATAGCTTGAAGGAGACAGCATATCCATCATACGATCACAAGATGTATTTCATGGGGTAAGCAACAGGAAAATATGTCCCTTCATGTTAACCTCCTAATCAAAATAATATAAGATGGGTGGAATGCTGACAGTAGTTCTGGGGAGGGTAAAAATTATTGACAGTGAGGAGGTGAATCAGTGAGTCAATGAGGCCTGTCTATGGTGCAGTCAATTTTAGTGGTCAGTTAAGTCACACTACTGTGGGTGATTGGTGGCAGAAGTACACTTGTGATGTAGGACACTTGCAAACAAGCAAGTTGTCACTAATATGATTGTATTGCTCTGCATACTGCCACAGATCTAATAGGGTGAATATTAGCAACTCTCAGTGCCTTGCTTCACACATGGGTCCCTCAGAGAATGGTTTTATATCAGGGGATGATTGATTATAGGTCTGAAAAGTAGAATTTATTTTAACATCCGTGCATTGACAAGTGCTGTAAAAGACGATCAACTTCACGTAAGTCTCTCAGTTGTGTTTTATGATATTGTATGTATTTAAATATCTGCAAATGAACATTCAGGTAGTGGATTTAGATAAAGTGATTGGTGCTGAATATCTGTGATTTGAATAAAACTCACGTGCTCTGCATACTGCCACAGATCTAATAGGGTGAATATTAGCAACTCTCAGTGCCTTGCTTCACACATGGGTCCCTCAGAGAATGGTTTTATATCAGGGGATGATTGATTATAGGTCTGAAAAGTAGAATTTATTTTAACATCCGTGCATTGACAAGTGCTGTAAAAGACGATCAACTTCACGTAAGTCTCTCAGTTGTGTTTTATGATATTGTATGTATTTAAATATCTGCAAATGAACATTCAGGTAGTGGATTTAGATAAAGTGATTGGTGCTGAATATCTGTGATTTGAATAAAACTCACGTGAAGCCTTTTTAGACTGAGATTGAGTCACTTTTTTTATGTTATTTGAAATGTACAAATGTGGCCATTTTCTGTCAAAAGGTGTCTAGGTTGACACTGAGAGACCTGCCACAAGCACGGCTATTTTGGCTCACTGCTTCAACTTCACATGTCCCTTCAGGTGCTCTTACACATCAAAGACATGAGCAGTGAGATTCCTCTGCTGGAGGTGTTGGTGCTTGATGTTAAAATGAAGACCAGGTGCAGCAGAACTTAATGTCAAAAACACTGAACTAGCACAGCACAAGATAGTGTACACTTCCGGTTCAAATGAGATGGTTAGATTAGAATATCATCACTTCCAACTTCAGACTTGCACTGAGCCACAGCCAGGAAGAAAACATGTTACCTCAGAGTCACAAGGCAATATATCTTATATCTAACATATCTGTAAGGGTTAGAAATAATACATGATTAAGATGGTATAGAGTATTTCTTATCCATATGTTAAATTTAACATGACATATAGAAGGGTGACATCAAAGCTGTAGTCTGATTGTCAGGGTCCCTCACTTCCATCTGCATGCACAAATGAAACACATAATAATCTTTTGAGCCTTTAATCCATGGCAGAATCTCCCAAATAAATTGAAATGAGCTGTCGAATTTAATTATGTATCATCGGTCCTCACCACCTGTTGGTGTTCCTATTCTTGTCCTGTGTGTTGCTTCAGACACCAGCCGATACGCTCTCATTTGTCTCCCTCTAAAGGTCCTTTCTGATCATGGTTCACTCATCATATCAACACACTGCAAACAAATATATTGTGACGGGCATTTTCTTTATTTCATCTAGATTTTACAGATGCCATGTGAAGGGCTTTCACCAACTAGGTCATTCCACAGCTGTCTGATCAGTAACAGTCTTTTTCTGACTGCCTAATTAAGCATGTTAAGTACAAATATAAGACTGAATAGGAATCAGACTGAAACGACAAAGGGAGTTGTACTAGACAAAGTGCTAGACTTGTACTCGGCTAGGCTAAGATTATTGTGTTATTTCCTGTTTTGACCTGAACTTTATTATGTTCATTTTTGCAGAAACATTTTGCCAAAAAGTTTCTGAGCCTCTATTCGAATTGGAAGATGGCAAGAGCAACATGTATCTACTGAATGAGGCCCAATGTGTACACCCACATGCTCTGCATCACCTCTCCTTCTTTGTGTCTTCATGTTTCTGCCTCTCCACTGGGCTCTTTCAAATCAGCTTTAATTCAGCTTGAACAGGTTGGCTGATTAAAGCTGCCAAGACAGAAGATGGCTCTTCGCTGCTCACAAAGCACAAACATAGTTTTGGATCCAGAAAAAGAAGGGGACTCTCCCCTCAGCGGTCCTCTCATCTCCCCAGGAGATCCAGTGTGAACGACATCCATCTGTGATAATAAGTGCTTTGTGCCTCATCTCAGTGACATAAATGCCTTCTGCTGGCTGTCCCTCTGTGTCAGGTGTCTGCCTGTCTGTGGGCTTGTTGGCCTGCAGGGGAGGTGAACAGGGACACTGCTGCTCATGTGTGTGAACCATCAACATGGAGAGGAAGTCACAGCACCACCCTTTTTAATAAAATAGGAATTCCATAAAAATGAAATTTAACACCCACGATGATGAGTAATGTTGTATTTCTTGTATACTTATATCAACATAACAAGATAACAGATTTGACAGGAAAAATCAAGCTGTTAGTCATTAGACCTTTCCTTAAATTAAGAATAAAAAAAAACAACAAAATAAACAATAATAATAACATTTAAAAAAGAAACAATTATTTACCACATAATCAAGATTAATTATAAATGATATCATATACAATTAATGTAGGAAAAGACTGAACATTAGAGTGGATTTGAGAATTAAGAATGAAGAAATGACTAAAATATGATAAGAGAGAAAGTGGCAAGTACATATTGTTTTAACTTGAATGATCTTACCCGAGCACCTGATTTCTCAGACTGGAAAATAAAGCTACAAAAAGAAGATGCATGACTACAGTTAAAGTTTATTTTTACACACATTATGCCTGGGAGTTGCACCACTGGAGCATTTAGGTCGTTGTAATTAGGGAACATAATGTCAGTCATTCATTCACTCCCCATCCAGATGGACGACAAGCTGCTTTCTCTAATCTTATGCCTGTCATGTCATCCTCTGGGGAGCATCCCAGCAGGTTCACTTTCAAAATTGTCTGAACTGGAGAGCAGTTTCTGCACACACATAATGGCCTAATAGGTGCAGCAGACTAAAGAGGCAATAGTCTAGTAAGACAAGACAGCTTCCACGGTGCAAAACTTTTAATTGCCTAAATTAAATTAGGACCACAAACTTAACAGTTCAAAGTTTTGCAATGAGACCATGTGCAGAAACTCTTTTTTCTTGA